AAAGAACCATCATGCATTTCAGCTGTGACTGAGAGCATGCCATGCCCCGACCAAATTATTTGGTTCCAAGATTAGCATAGGACCCAAACAGGGCCTGAGACTGGATATATGGATATATTCCCATATAAATTATATTTGATAAACAGACAAAGAAGGGGAAGGATCATTGTTTAGTATAATAACCTGTAAGGACATGCTGAGAGTAACCAGTGCCATCTGTCTTGCCTAAGAATAAAGCCAATAGTTGAACTGAAGTAGAGATGAGGGTATGTAAGTGGGTCTCTCACTACTTTCAAGTTCATGTCTCTATGTCATTACCATAACAAGCTGTTTAGATCCATTATTATTATCCATATTATTCTTCCAGTCTCCATAACTAGATCCATTAAAATGCACCTACCAATATATCCATGCCAATATCAGGCTGGGATCAATATTGTTTCAGGCAAAGGAAATGAAAGAACCCAAATAGTTCATTTGATAAAGAGTACTTCAACCTTACTGCTTATTATCACTCTAGTAAATCAGTTCTATTCAGTTCTCCCAGGCCTGAAATTCAACTTTTGTCTCATCAATACTTTCAGAACAGAATCCTCCCACTAAAGCAATCTATCTGCTTTGATTCTATTTTAAGGACCACCTACTCCTATAAGTTTCTGGTTTCTGTATATTGTCAGTTCCCTGATTCTGGAATCTAGCCATTCACTGGTATATTCAATTAATTACTTGCATAGACATCTCTGACAGTGAGCCTGCCTAGATTACTGCCAACTGCTTTTAATAACTCTTCCTGAGTATCTTATTCTCCCTAACTTGACCAAACTTCCTCTCAGAGATTTGGTTAAAAGCTAAGCAAATTAAGAATGAGATGGAATTAAAAGGGTAGGGAGATATAATGAGTAATAGAATAAAGAGTTAGCATAAAATTTTTAACTTGCAGAAATTATAAGGAAACACAGCAAGGTATAAGTGTTTTTATTTTGCTAAAAATTGTACAGGCCTTGCCTCTCGAAGGCTCTAAGTGCATGTGGCAATGAGTAAATTTGTCAGTTCATATACTGATACTGAAAAAAGAGAATAGATAAGGATAAAGAAATTTAGAAAGGTAGAATATCTGAAAAGTACATTATGATGAAAATGGGAAATAGCTCTTGGTATTTAGGTAGTAGATATTGAAGAGAGTAAATTATATAATATAAAATACTTATTCTAATTCCTGGCAAATAAAATATATAGAGATATTATTTTTAATATTTTTATTGCTGCAAGACTTTCTATTGGATCAGCTATACTTTGTGAAAGCTTGTAGGATTTTGAGAGGCAACAATCAAATCAAAGTCCACCCATACAGCCTTTGATTATTGCTGCTGAAGTTAGACACTTCTTTTATCACTCACCACTAGGGTTTAGTTTGCATCATTCATAATACTTACATTATTTTCTCTATTAAGAGAGTCATATAAGTATTTTACCTCTAATTTTTTTTAATTGTAAGCTTCTTAAAGGCTAAGACTACATTCTGTAAAACTTTTTTTATCTCATATTTTACATTGCTCTAAGCAAATGAGCAATGAATATTTGCTGAATGACACATTTTTAAAAGCTCAACACTTGCTAAACTCTTTTCAAGCCTTTTAGAAAATGTTTTGAATCAATCCATTCAAATAAAGTGTCCACATTTCTTTTCTCTTTTCATGCATTTACTTCGAATCAAAGACTTGATTATTCGTTGTTAGGGAATTTAAAGTAGACTTTTATACTGTGCCCTTAATCATAACTAACTGTTTTTGAAAAAGTGTTTCTCTAATTAACTGGATATAGAAGCTTAATCATTTTTTTAAGTATATTTCTCTAAGCAAAATATATCTTCAATAACATTTGGCTCCAGCAGGCTGTCTGATTCCATCCATAGATGATGCTTAATCCATTCATTAATGAAAGTAATTCCTAATAACCAAGATAAAAGTCAAGTGCAAATCCAATGTTTGAACTTAAAATGAGGACACTGATGAATGGATATGTAAATAAACATAACCCTCTTCAAGGTACAAGGTATTTGGATAGATTGATGTTTATTTTGGACTCTTGCCCAGTTCTTTACTAGCAAGATTTATTCTAAGTATCAAAGGGAAATTTTCTTTCACTAACAAGAGTATTACTGGAGATAATTTTAAGGATAAAAGCAAAGTAATTTTAATAAATTATTAAATTAAATAATAAGTCAGAAGCAAGTTTTTCATCAAAGTAAAGAAATATGCTTTTTTAAAATTATTATTCCTAAAACCCTGCTTCTATCAGTGATATTCCTCACTCCCCCAAAGGATGGAGGAGTTTCATCCATGGGCATTAAGGGGATCCAGTCATACACAGAGCTTATAGCATCTTATTTGCTAAAAGGAAAACAGAGGGAAAGAAAATGAGGAATTTCAAATGAATGTAAATGATTCTATGTGACTACAAATTTAGAGTACATTTGCAAAAATATTTGCCTCATTAATAATAAAAATGTATTATTTTAATTTCCTAATGTAGCCCATGTAGGACTTAGAAACAAGATGACCAAGGATTTCTGCATGGACAGTTATATTAAAGAGTAAAATTCTCATTTCAATGTTATGAAAATGCCTTTATCCAAAAATCACTTTTCTGTTCTGTATCTTACAAGGACTATTTTGATAGGACTAACTAAAAAGTCTTTTCTCACCTTAAAGAAAGATTTAGGGTTTAAAAATTCATTATTTCAAATTATGTTTCAGCAGAGGTCATAAGAATGCTATTTATGGTTATAAAAATCATACATAATCTGATTGAAGAAAACGGACAGACCCATACTCAGCATATTGGCTCCTTTAGTAGAATTTACTATGTTCAGTAAATAATCCTATCCATGAATTTTGAATTTGTGTTCAATCCTTATTTTTACTGATGAATCAATTATTTTTAATTTTCTTTTTGTTTATTTTATTCATTTCGGTCTCTTGGTCTTTGTTTGGTGACCCCTAAATAACTTGAATTAAGCAACAAAAAGAACAATTTCCGTGCTGGACACAAAGGAGTGTGCTTCCGGAGAGTGCCACAGACTTTTGGCTGAAATCTACCCATCAAGTTTAATGTGACTCTGGCTGCCAAAACCCCAGGCAACCTTTGAATATTTAGGGCTAAATGTAACTACCACTTGCTTTGGTCGCAGGATCTCTTATTTGTTGCTCCCCAGATTTCTGCCAACCTTTTTATGCTCAGTTCTATTGATGCCTCTTTCTGGCTGAGTCTTGTATATCTGTTTCCAATATTGTTCACAATGCTGAGTAGGTTAAGACAAGAAAACCATTATTTTAAAAATGTTTATTTATTTGCTGAGGAAAATAAGTTGCACTGCAGGAGGTAAAATTATCTTGCTGTTTTTGTTGTTTGCTTGTTTCATACAACTGTAAAAACTAGACACATCCATAGTGGATGTAAAAATTGTTCTCAGATTCACTCTTAAGGCAAATATCTGAGGAAACACATATTTCAAAATATATATTCCTTACCAATCTCTGTTTATCTCTCTCATTTGATTATATCTATCTTTATTCCCCCAATGACAAAAAAAAAGAGAGAAACGATCTCTGGGATCAGTTAGAAAACAAGTAGATTACTTCAGAAAAATAAAATAATCAAAAACAATATCATTTTTGCTTAATTAAATGCAAGTAAAAAATTCCTAGACAAAGCATCTTTGCAAATTATGGTAAATTTAGGACAAATGCTTTGTGTTTTACCTTGGAAAGTTAAATAAAGTGTCTCATGCTACTCAATATTTTGTGAGACTTCATAATGTAGACAATATGCCATGCTAACTTTCAGTAACATAATTTTAGTGGCCTCCAAAGAGTTAAGTACTAAGTAGTTATTGAAGTCTTCGTAAGGGTGTAAGCATGATATGTCAGATTCTTTGGAACCAATAAATAGAAATAAGCATTTTTTCAGTGTTCCAAGATCTGTCCAAAATGGTCTTTTATTATTAAACTAGAGGCCCGGTGCACGAAATTCATGCGGGGCGAGGGGAGGGAGGGGTCTCGTCAGCCCAGCCTGCACCCTTTCCAATCCAGGACCCCTTGGGGGATGTCCGACTGCCAGTTTAGGCCTGATCCCAAGGATCAGGCCTAAACTGGCAGTTGGACATCCCCTCACAATCCATGCAGCCTGCTGTTCAGTCGTTTGGTTGTTCCTCACTAACCCTCCTGCCGGCCTGGTCACCCCACACAGCTTGCTGTTCAGTTGTTTGGTCGTCCCTCACTAACCCCCCTGCTGGCCTAGTCGCCCCACACAGCCTGCTTGTTCAGTTGTTTGGTCGTCCCTCACTAACCCCCTGCTGGCCTCATCGTAGGTAGCCATTTTGTGAAGGCATGAGGGTTAATTTGCATATTACCTCTTTATTATATAGGATTATATAGGATAGAGATATAAGTGTTTTTGAAAGGGGAAAATATAGTATTGTCTTTATGACTTCCAATTACCTGAAAAATAAAGATGCATTGGAGTTAGATTTCTTTTGGAAATATGTATTGACAGCATTTGGTATAGGAATTTATATTAAAACTAGAGGCTTAGTGCACAAAATTTGTGCATAGGTAGAGTCCCTAGTGGCTGCCGGCTGCCAGCTGGGGCCTCCCTTCCCTTAGCTGCCTGTGGCCACTGATGGCTGGGGCGGGGCCAGCAAGGGGGAGGGGCCATGGGTGGTTGGCTGGCTAGACCCACCCCCTGGTCAAACTCCCAGTCGAGGGGACAATTTGCATATTAGGCTTTTATTATATAGCATTTGACTTCAAAAGGATTTAATAGAAATGATTGAACTTTTCCTTAAAGTTTCTGTTGTTGCTGCTAGATTTATTAGAAGAATCTGACAGGCCAAAAAAACCACAAATGATAATGAGTAAGCTCCTCAAAATTTTTCAAGATTTAATAAAGTTGCTTGCCATAAAAATATCACTTAACTCACACAAATCGCAAACACTTACCATATTCACTGTCATAGAATATGATGAATTTCTGCCAGGCATATTCTGTGATCACTCTCAGGATAACCTCATTTAAGTAGACAGGTGGGCGAACAGAGAGTGTGTAGTCATCATTCCTGTTGCTCCGGGTGAGTCCACAGCCACTCCTTGGGGTCCCAGCTGTTGCTCGCTGGATGAAGAGGTGGGGGATATGCATAGCATCTGCCAAAGACTGGAGGGATCCCGCTGATGTGCAGCCAATGGAGCTGACCAGGGCCAAAATGCCTTGATTCATAAGTTCACAGGCTGCAAAAAAGCATAGTAATATTGGACTGTCAATGAGTTTCATGTATTTTCTCTTTTTTTGAGAAGCAATGAATTAAGCTTATGAGCTATTACACAACTATGTAAAATTTTTTTAAAGGAACATTCTAACTGAGGAGATCCTCAAATTACAAAATGCTATTGAAATACAGTTTAAAAATTCTGCCCTTTAGTTATTTAGCCTGTGCAAATTACTTAGGTTCTCTTGGTCTCAGTTGCATCATCCATAAAGTGAATGAAATAGCATAAATCTTGCAGGATTAGCCCTAACCGGTTTGGATCAGTGGATAGAGCGTCAGCCTGTGGGCTGAAGGGTCCCAGGTTCTATTCTGGTCAAGGGCATGTACCTTGGCTGCGGGCACATCCCCAGTGGGGAGTGCTCAGGAGGCAGCTGATCGATGTTTCTCGCTCATCGATGTTTCTAACTCTCTATCCCTCTCCCTTCCTCTCTGTAAAAAATCAATAAAATATAAAAAAAAATCTTGCAGGATTACTGCCAGGGTTAGATATAGTTCAGTGTTTGTTATCTGCCTCTCAGATGATGGGCGTTCTATGCTTTTATAATTATTAATGTATAATTCAGAGAAAAGGTAATGCCTTACTGAATACATAATATAATGTTTTCAAAAAGGAGATAATATGTAAACTGGTGAATGAATGAAGTGGGGTGGGGTGTTGAAGGGTTTGAGTAATGATTTCTGGCCATAGAAAACAGAGCCAGCTGGGATTTAAAACTTTGATAACACTTTGTCTCTTTTACTAAACTGGAGAATTGAAAATGCTTTTTTTTTTCTTAACAAATTAGAAAACACAGAGTCACATCAAATACTAAATTTCAGCAACAATATCATTCTGGTTTCCAGCTGAATAATTTCTTATTTCTACTATATGATTTATGGTCTCCACTTTAATTTCATTTTAACCATTTTATATATGAATATATGCTAACTTCAAAAAATATATAAAACTAGAACAAATATAAATTATAAGTAAATGTAAAGACAAAACATACATGGGGAAAAAAGAGATAAGAAGTGATATCTCAGAATGCCAATCTTTAAAGTAAAAACATTACAAAGAAAAAAATAAATAAGTAAATAAATACAAAGAAAAGTAATTCAGAAAGAGTCAAGGCAAAATAAATTCCATTTAGAAGATTATTTGTTATAATTGGCTCTGTCTTTATTCTAGATTTTAGGCATTCTAATTCATATATTCTAAACATTCAGACTTTAATATAAATTGTTTTACACAGTTCTTGAAAATTCAAAGGAAGACCGAAATGATAAGTACCTACATGTAATTAATTGGTCAGTTAATGAAAGCTGACAAAGTATAAGTTTAGAAGTACTATCTTAATGGCATGCATATAAACATCAAATAAATTAATTATGATTAATGGTAAGACAACTAATATATACAAAATAAATTAAAAATTATTAGGGATATAATTTTCAAGGATAAGAGAGGTTATATGATTTTAAATAAATGTGAAAAATAGCACCAGAGAGGAATCCTTCTAGACCATAACAGATTGAGGTTAAAGTTTTATTAAAAATCATAGTAGCTGCTCATGCCAAAACCGGTTGGGCTCGGTGGATAGAGCGTTGGCCTGCGGACTAGAGGTTCCCGGGTTCGATTCCGGTCAGGGGCATGTACCTGGGTTGCGGGCACATCCCCAGTGGGAGATGTGCAGGAGGCAGCTGATTGATGTTTCTCTCTCATCGATGTTTCTAACTCTCTATCTCTCTCCCTTCTTCTCTGTAAAAAAATCAATAAAATATATTTTAAAAAAATCATAGTAGCTACTCATGTCCATGAAATCAGTACAGAAAGCAATATAAATTTATAGTTATTACTTTCAATGAATTTATGCAAAACCACCGGTCACTAGATTGTTTCATTACTATAGTAAATAATACCATTACTGATTATATAAGCAAGTAGAAATTCACTTTTAGAAAATATTTTGATTAAAAGCTTGGATTATTTAGCATTTAAAATAAAAAGTAGAGAACATTATTAATGTATAAACAGTTGAATTCTATTTTTAGGTTACACTAATTAATAGTAATTAAGCTCTGATAAGTTAGGCTCAGTTTGTTAGAGCATCGCCCCATGCACCAAAAGGTTGGGTTTCATTCCCAGTCAGGGCATATACTACAGTTGGATGCATAACAGAGGCAACTGATCTATATTTCTCTCTATCTCTCAAAAAAAAAAAGTCTGCTAAAAAATAAAAATAAATAAATAATGATTAAATAAATATAACATTTAATATAAATCTACCACAAAAATTATAAAGTTATACATATAAAAGTTTGAGATAAAAAACTGTTTAACATTATATTCTGTCACATGTAAAAATATATGAAAATTATCTATTTTAGTCTTCAGATTTAGAAAGATTAACTCCAGAGTCATATATTAATCATCATGTAGCAGATAAATTTGATGCGGTAGCCCATATAATAAAAGGGTAATGTGCAAATAGACCGAACAGCAGAACGACCGAACAGCAGAATGACCAAACAACCAATCAAAGCGTAATATGCTAATGATATGCTAAGGCTGCTCAACTGCTCACCATGACATGCACTGACCACCAGGGGGCAGACAGTCAACTGGTCAACCAGTCGCTATGATGTGCACTGACCACCAGGTGGCAGATGCTCCGACTGGCAGGTTAGCTTGCTGCTGGGGTCTGGCTGATCAGGACTGAATGAGATGGGCTGGTCATTCCCTGGAGCCCCCGATAGTACACCATTGGGGTCCCTCAGCCTGGCCTGTGCCCTCTCACAATCTGGGACCCCTCAGGGGATGTCAGAGAGTCAGTTTCAGCTCTATCCCGCAGGCCACCCCCTTGGGAGGGAGCCAAATGGAGGGCTCATGGCTGGTGAGAACTGCTGCGGCAGCACGAGCCTCTCCCAGTTGGGACTGATTAGGCACGAGCCCAAGGCAGGCACAGTGGGGCCAGGATGAGTGAGAGCAGCAGGTAGGAGCTGCAGGCAGCATTGGACTGTGGGTTTCGGCCTGATCCCTGCAGGCCACCCAGAGGGACCCCACCTGTGCACGAATTCGTGCACCAGGCCTCTAGTATAATCTATAATTCCCTTCAATCAATTATGTTACTTCCTGTTAACGTCTGTGAATAAGAGCACAAACAACATATACAAAATACCAACTTCTGCGCATGGGCCACAAAGTTTTAACCGCACTGTACATGCGCGCCGCACGTGGTATTTTGTGGAAGAGCCACACTCAAGGGGCCAAAGAGCCGCATGTGGCTCATGAGCCGCAGTTTGCTGACCACTGTTATATACCAACCACGATTGTTGGGTAAGTTGGCATTCTGGGACAATATTTTGAGAAAAATTCTGAGACGCAATAAGAAAAAGTACCAAAATCATTATGTTAAGTGTCTCAGAGGAAAAGATGAGGGGAGGAGAGTGGTCATACACAACCATTCCTCTTATACTGCTCTACCTGCTAATGATTTTGACTGTCAAAAAGCACACCTTTTCCTAATAAACAAACAAACAAACAAATAAATAAATAAATAAAAGAATTCTCTGGTCTATAACTCATTGTCCAATATCCATTTCACCATAGTAAGAAAATGTTATTTGTAACCTTATGGCAAAGAAAAGATAGATAGAGCTGTCCACAGGGAAAAGTTCAATTGAAGATTGTCTCTTGTCAGGTTTGGTAAAATAGGTAGTCCCACTAAAGAGAAAGGAAGAACTCATATGCAGAAAATGGATTGCGACTCCTTGACCCAAAACACAACCCCAGCTAGACATATATAGGAAAGGTACTGCAAGGCAACCTACCAAGTCTATATTTGATGTCCACTTTGCCTCATTTTACCAATAAAAAAATTTGGGTTTAAGGAGAGAACATACTAATTGTTTTGCTCTGGACATTGACCTTCCATAGGGTCCTATATAAAGTTTAGTATAAAGTAGAGACAACAACTAGTGACAGCAGAAGAGAGATTTGAGAAAACAAAGAGCCACAGCAAGAACAGAAACAAAGCTTAGTGAAGCAGCCTACCATTTGCTACAAGAATTTCATGTCTTGACTGTTAGAACACCACATTATTTAGTTTTAGTTCTATACAATGCATACTTTATTTCATTAAAAAGAGTGTGAAACTAAATTTGCAAGAAAACAGTGTTTTGTGGGCATCTTCACGTTTTAATTATAAGAATTCAAGCCAAGGACTTCTCAATGACATATTTCTTTCATGCTTTTATTTCAAGCCCTGTGATTTACTTATATTATGTATGCATGTACGCATGCACCTCCAAACATATAGAGCATATTGAACAGCTGCTTGTTTTGTGACTCCAGCTGCTTTGAGATTTTAACACTATCAAAGATGTTAGATTCTCCACTAATTGCTGAAAGCTCACTTTCCTCTTCTTTCTCTTTTTTCTTCTCTTCCTTTTAATTGCAATGATCAAAACTTTCACCCTTTTTGGTCACTTAGCAGTTATGGAAATGAAGTTCTCTGTATAAATGTATACTTTTAAGTTAAATGATACATACGTTATCTTAATTTGCTAGTAGGTATAAGGTATAGGTAAAGAAGAAACAGAGAGTTAATAAGAATTATAGTACCTCCCAAAATGATTCTTATCTTGTTCCCCCATAATAATCAACGAAGAAGACTCCATTTTTTCAAGTTTCTCCAACTCAAATGCAGCATACCATATTTCCAGAATTCTAAAACATTCATAGTTTCTATCTTTTATCACATGAGGACGTATTTTAAATAGCTCAATGTATTTCATATGATGGATTACTTTTCTTGAAAAATTCATTAATCAATATTGACCTTTACAATCAGTGAGCTCTTTTAACTGAGAACATAAGGTAACCTTCCATGGCAGATGCGGAGGATTTATAAAATTTTTGAACAGCTGAATTGAAGTTAACTTATTTTTTGCTATTTAATCCAATAATGAGTCACAAGC